AAGAGAATAGATTTGAAAAGCGGAGGGGGGAAGGGGGTGACATCATATGCACTATAGGGGGCGATGTTACATCTGTGTTTCAAATTCATGCAGAATCTTACATCAGAATGGTATGTTTATGGCTTTTTAAAATTGCTTTCCCTCTTTAGTGATATTGCAACCATTTAGTCGTTGAGAAATGCTGAAAATTCTTCACAATCTGCTTTAATGGTTTTGCTTATCGCAGAAGTGTGTGGTGGTGGTGGTGGTGGGGGGGTGATTCAATAGCCCATCCCTCACCTCAAAAAGTGGGGGACCATGCTATACCCCTCTCCCCCGGGATTGACGCCCATGACTAGCATAAACCAAAAAGGTAGTAAAATACCCTTCGGAACAGCCAAAAAAAAAGGTTGAAAATAAGGTTAAATGAGATATAAATTAAGGGTGCATTTGAGAATATATTTATTAAAACAAATTGATTGCAGCTGCCCTTTGAAGAGGTTAAAGCCAGCGAACCTACACCCTATGAAATCGCTCTACATCTCTTATACCAGTTTGTGCGGTGAGAAAGTCCCTCGGTGTATTTTGAAATGCAAGCGAACTACCGTAAGGAGAAAGTGGCGTGTCAGATGGATTCTCTCGCAACATTATTTATGTACGCCTATATAGTCAGGTGGCTTAGTGAAATAACCGTTACACGGCGGATAAAAGCATCAAATTTGGCATGCGACTCCTCTGAGGACTGTTTAATAATATTAGAGTAGGAGCCCTCCAGCAGTTTTTACGAAAAGCACAAAAGAGATCATATTTCAAGATGGCCAACATTTATTGCAAAAACCCGACTTTTCAGGTCATATGGGTAATACGACGACAGATTTTTTTCCCTAAATTTGTAGTTTGGCTCACCAAAACCTTAATTTGGACACTATGGTGGTAGTAATGCATATATTTTTGCGTAATATAGAGTGCCTGACCTGTGGGGCGAGGGGGCGGGGCGCAGAGGGGGTGGTTCCCCCCATAAAAAACAGTACATTTTTTTTTCTGTCTGCAAACTAAAATATTATATTCAGCTCTAGATTAGCATTCCAGCCAGAAGTTGTGTAAAGGTTTAGAAGGGGGTTGGGTTGCTTAAACATCAGTGGACTTTTTGTGTGAAGTGCAGCAATATTGTGGTCCAAATTAATTTAAAGGGACCTACTATATTATGCAGGACATTTGCACTTGCAGAGAGGGGAGCAAACAAGATTCGCTTTGCTGCATTTGCAGTTGGAGCAGTCTCCTTTGCAAGAGCATTTGATTAGCTCTCTACACGCCTTGGAAATCTCTGGAATTGTCATCCATACTGGTACCCATGACCCTGATACCTTGGTCCAAGCAAAGTCCTGCGGCGAAGGAACCGATAGCTGATTTTGAGTGCTGCTTGTCCAGATTCCTGGTTGGTAAACTGCTCATCGGACATGCTGCAGAAGAGCATCTTTGGTCGGTGGCAATTTCTCCATAGTGCAGTTCTTGTGGCAGAAGAGTTCCCTTCTTGCCTCATTAACTGAAGTCAAATGACTAGGCCTTACTCGTGTGAGCTATACCAATTTGTTTATGATGGACTGATGGATTAAATTCGTTGCTTTTCATTTTAAAAAGCAATTTCAATTCTGGCCTGACAGCAAGTAAGCAGGCAGTTAATTAATGGGAGCTGTTCCTTTGTGTGTTTTTCGTTTAGTATGCGTCATCGACGACAACATTGAATGAACCAAAAAGGCAAGAAAAAAGTGGCCATCATAATGAGATGTTGGTGCGCTGGTGAAGCATTTTGGCACAATAATGAATTATACCTGTTTCTTCCTGCATTTTGCGTTCAATTTTCATCAGTTCTGTTCTTATTGTGTTTGGGAATTGGTGAACTCGAAAACAGCAAATGTAGAGAATTCAAATTCTTTGATTAGGTCACACTAATTCAAATCACACAGGTCAGTTGTCAAATCTTTTACTCTCTTAACACCTTACCAACATCCTTTTCCTTTTAAGCAACTAATATCTCAAAATTGTTTTCTTAGCTCTCCCTAGAATTTCTATCTCTGTAATCAACTTGCTTCCTCCCAAATTAATTTTTTTCTAAATTGCAGATTCTTCTTATTTCTGTATACCAATGTCAGTTCTCTTGTTTTATTTACGTTTTCAAATTCTTTTGCTGTACCTTTATTTTTTTCTTCTAATTTACTATTCTTCAAGTTTTAGACACTGAAAAATTTCACCAGGCCCTTTATCGCACGATCGATTTCAATAAGAATTAATTTTACCTTGAAGTGAACTTGTACCTCCACTCTCAAAGTTAACAATATTCGTGGAATTAAACATATCAGAAAAACCCTGCCCTCCAACATATTTACCCGTTACTTTGACATTCAAATATTTAGTCGATGGGACATTTTCACCTTCTACGAAATCATTTCCATAGTCAACACTGCCTTTTCATTGACAGAGGTCAGACAGCTAGGTGCAGCGAAAGCGTAAGGTATTATGCTATAGCAGTCAGCCGGCTTGAGAATGTGCTATCAAGCAGCCAATATACACAGACGAACGGTTGGTTTAGCAATGATCGTTTGTCGAAGATGTCTTGCCTTGTTTCACATCACGAAGGCGCACGGGTGTAACATGACCATCGAGTAGCGTACGAGAAAGGTCCAAAAATAATACTGAAAATGTTTAAATAGCGAAGATAAAAATGCAGCATAATTCATGGTCGGTATGAACACACTGGAAGTGTTATTGGTTTTTAATTTGTTGACGTCATCTTAAAGGTGAATACTCTTCCCGTAACTACAACATATAACTGGCTTGTGGTTTAAATTTTATATGTTGGTATGGTGGGGGACATTCCTTTTGGCACTTGTACGTTTTAAAATGCTATCTGCACGCCTAGGGGTATAGTCTCCAGTACGTATGTGATATAGTTCTGTAGAAAAACACATTGCCTTTGCATATGACACTGCATTAGGTGATCCCAATAGAGGAGGCGGTTATAACGTTCTCACCAGTCCCTTCCTTGTCGCTGTCATTGCAAATACTAATTGGTTATAGAGGGTATTAGGGCTTACACCCTGCAGCTATCATGCAGCACAGTGATCGGTTTGAAAACATTGTTGCTGTCACTTTCGAATCGCTTGTATGAGGCCCGACAAGACACCCTGTCCTTGTTACAGATTCCAGGTTTCTTTCATATTTTTGTTTGTTTAAATTGATTCGGTTGAAATCATGCTACGGAGATATCAGAGCCTAACCATACCGTGTTTAAACAACAGCCCGGTCCCGTAAACCATTAACCAATGTCATTCATTGTAATTCGCGAGCTCACAGCCGGCGAAATCGCATCGCCAATGTTGAATCTTTTTACGCGATCCCTTCATATCAGCTCGGGTCAAAATGTTTTACACGAACGAGGAGTATAAAACGTCATTCAAGCGTGAACGCTATTTATGTCTGCTGCGGTCCTGTACGTGGACTGTGTTGTTTTTCCCGTGTACTCCCCTGAAAGTTTGCCCAATGTTGGATAAAAGTGGAACAGCTTTTATCAACCATGACTTTTTTTGCCGCAGTCATTGTCTAAGTGAGCCTTAATAACAAATGTAATGTTAGTCTGTCGCTTCTTTGAACTTTGAACCCATCTTTATCTGATATGCAGAAGTAACCCTAAAGGTATACGAAGGCTACTTAGCCACAGACTACCGTATGTGCCGTTTCACGTTTTCAACACTTGACAGATTGTTCACGATATTTCATGTTGTAACCATCTCGTGACACCTGTATCAGAGGACCACCAAGTCACTCAGACCGCTTGAAATCCCCATTAATCCACGTGTGCATCGTCAGAGTGTGCAAGGACATCGAACACCAAGGTATGCCCGTAAAATTCGTCCTTTTCCCCTCCAAAACCAATGTCTGAAAATTTGAATTGCGAAAACGAAGTTCTAAGTGTAAATTGTAGGGCCTACATGAAGGCAATGAGGAAGTCGGCATAATTGGGATGCTAGCGTGTGTTCATATGTCCGCATGTCTCATAATAAGTGTTTCGTCTGTTAATATCGTTTGGGACATTATGTCTGATCTATCATGCCCGCGGGCATCTGTCTGGTTCACGGTGTCCCTGGGCCAATTACGTTCAGCCTATCGAGTCTGCAGACCCATTATGTCGGGTTGATGTGTCCGCAGGCCTATTACGTCCTGTCCATTACAACCCTTATGCAGAACTCCGTCGTAACGTGGCGTAAAAAAGTGGGGGACATTTGGTACCCCTGCTTGGGGCCTGTGCCCCCCCCAGCTCAAAAATTGGGGATGGTAAAAAAAAATGCGGTGAAATCTGCCTTGGTCAGGGTATGAACTTTGACCAAACCCATGCACTGAGTGCCCTTGTCCAAAAAATGAGGGCCAAAAGTGTCCCCCTGCAAAACGTACCCCAGTTAAGGTACAGTCTGTGGTGTCCACTGGAAAATTCTGTGTCATTGGTTAATTGGCTAATTCTGTGTGCAGTCCTCGTGTCATTGAGACTGGTCTCAATCTGCAGGTTTGAATCTTGACCAATGTATCGGCATGCTATTGAGTCCGGAGATCCATTATGTCAGTTCCAATATGTCTGCCAAACTCCGAAGAATATGAAATCGTCTTGAAGTTTTGGCAATACTTGTCAATATTGATGCACTTCGGGTCGAACTGAATGATAAGTCAGAGTACCCCAGATTTTTTTTCAGTGTCTGGATCTAAAACACTAACCCTCTCTGTAGGCCAGCTACCTGTCTGTTTGCCAAGAAACGTTCACCGTACAATGATTCTAAATCTCGCCAGTTGCCGATATGTGATTTCTTTAGATTCAAGATGTATCATTTAAACATCAAGGACTTACTCCAACGCTTCAGTGACGGTACAATGACGTGTGAGGCCTACACAAGACGGGTCATCCAACGCGCCCAGGACCTAAAAGTCTTCAACTATTTTGTATCTATGGATACCGAGCGGATGTTGAAGGATGCCCAGGAGGCAGATGCCAGGTACAGGAACAAGACCAACAGGCCTCTGGAAGGCGTCCCGATTGCCATGAAGGACAACATCGACATCGAAGGGGAGGAGACCGGAGCTGGCACCCCGGGCCTTGCCGGCCTTAAGCCAAAGCACACGGCCGAGGTGGCTCGTAGGCTATTCGATGCCGGAGCGATCCATGCCGGTCGGGTGAACATGCATGAATTGGCTTCTGGGGCATCGACCTGCAATGCGTACACAGGAGCCAGTCATAACTTTCACAACTTCGACTACACCTGCGGGGGCAGTAGCGGCGGCAGCGGTGGGGTGGTATCCGCTGATATCGTCCCAGCTGCCTTGGGAACCGACACTGCGGGTTCGATTCGGATACCGTCCTCGTACAATGGGGTCTTTGGCCTGCGTCCAACCAGTGGACGTTGGCCGGCTGACTACGGTGTCAAGATGACTCATCTCCGGGATTCGGTTGGTCCCCTCGTACGCAGCGCTGAGGACATTGCGATCCTGGACAGCATCGTGACGGGAGAAGAACCCCACGGGGAACTGTCACCAGAAGAGATCAGGATCGGGGTTCCCCGGCCTCTGTTCTGGGAGGCTCTGGATCCTGAGATCGAAGACCATGCAGAGCATTTCTTGGCAAAGCTGAAGGAGAAGGGATTCGTGATTGTGCAGGGGCCGGAGATTCCAGGTTCAAGGGAGATGGTGGAGAAATACCTTCTTCCTACTATCCACTACGAAGTCGTTCCTCGGCTTGATGAGTACCTCAGATACCATGGGCACAGCGTCACCGTTCAGAGCGTCATCGACAAGATTGCCTCGCCAGACGTTAAGGTCGTGTTTGAAAACGTCATTGACAGTCCTCCTACCGAGGACGTATTTGAATCGGCCATAGCTGCCAGGGCCAAGGTCCGTGAAGATCTGAAGACCTACTTTGAGGACTACCGTCTGGACTGTATCCTGATGCCGGCCAACAAGATCCTGGCACCGACACTGCACATCTTCGAGGGGAACAACGTCGAACTGTGTAGACTCATCACTCAAAATGACGACTTGGCGAACATTTGCAACAACCCATCCCTGGTCATCCCCGGCGGGTTTGCCCAACCGAGTGGGGTTCCCTTCGGCATGCAGATTGAGAGCTACACGGGCAGTGACAGGCGGCTGATCGCTGTGGCGGTGGCTATAGAAAAGGCTCTGAGATATTAATGTGGAATGTTACTCAAGGGTCAAATGTGTTAACTCAAGATCCTTACCTGTTTAACGCCACGTTAATTTATTTATAACGAAACAACCTTTCTTTTGCCATACGAAAATGTTAACATGTGAAAAAACGCTCTTTCCTAATTTCGTGCACAAAAAAGGCTCAAGCAGAATTCTGTGAATTCTGGAGTTTATCAGTGACATTGAGCTCGTTTGCATAAGTGGCTTTTGTCGGTCTTATACAAAGGATTAAATTCAGGGTTTCCCTGTGTTTAGCTTATCACCTGTATTTAGCAAGCCAGTGAAACTGCATTTGGAATTCCAGTTTCGACGGTGCATAATTTTCCCTCAGTTAGTGACTTTTGCTCGAGCATCGTTTTGAACATTAATTTTGTGTTAATTTCTTTTCAAGTGAAACTGGAACAACACTGAAGCGGTAACGTAAAACACGACTTAGTTATCCATTATTTCTTCTTGCTGGTCTGGTACACGCGGTGAATTCGACATCAGCATATGAAGATCATTTCACTTGTGCGCTCACGCCTTGGCCACATCATTAGAGATCTATCACATTGCTTTTACGCTAAAAGGTTAATTAAACAAGAATTCTTACTCGTTTAATGACTCACGTGAGTTTCTCTTCACATTTAGGCACATGAACTTCAGCTCTTAAACAGAAAGTCAAGTGAAGGTCTTACATTTATTTGAATAAAATGTTGTCCTACAAACTCTATTTAGAGTCGAGCATAAGTGGAGGCACTTTTTGTGACATGTCGACAAATTTTGCGCATTGTGATTGGCCAACGCGTTGTAAACTCTTGGTGGCGCACTAATGTGAAACGGCCGTATTCGCAGCGCGCACTGTGCATATTTTTTCTTGCACTGCATCATGGTGGACGCATTCAAGTCGCATGTCTGGAGATCAGTTTAGAGGAGCCATGCATTGGATTTTATGACTTGAATACATGAAGCACGGCTTTGTTTTTGTACATATTACGACGACTTTCCACCTTCTTGGTAGCAGCCCAAAGGAAGAAATTTCAACATTTCGTATTTTTATACTAATGAAAATTTCCATAATTTTGAGCCAAAGCTTGATGCCATTTATGGTAGTGACAGGAGTATCTCCACGGCCTCATGTATTGTATTATTAAGTATGTAGCACACTTTTGTACATCTTGTGGGATTAGGTTTTCCTGTTTGAATGACTGTATAGTGGCCAATATTTTCTTCAGAAACCTGTTGATGGCTGTTGTTGTTTTAATGGCGCTTTCAGCTACTCAGGCTATTTGCGCCCAATAACCATAAGTTTATTCCCAACCTTTATTAATCAGCACCACGTTACGGATTAAGGAAGAAGGTCCAGTTTTAGAAGCAGGAGGAAGCCGGAGTACCCGGAGCAAACCTGCGAGAACGAGTATGGACTGGAAACCAAACGCACTTTCAAAGCCTGCGGGTCAAGTCAGGACTCGAACCCGGCCCTTATTGGTGCAAAGAAAGAAAGAACCACTACGCTAACCAGTTCCCCCGTCCCCCCACCCCCGTCGATGTCTAATGTTGAAGGACAGACTTCGCACTGGTCTTGCCGAGCTCTGTTGACAGGGATTTCCTTGTGATGACGAAATCAAAATAGCGCCCTTGTGCATACGTTGTGAAAAGCATTTTCTAATAATTGGGAAGCAATCACCTTCCTTTCACTTCCAATTAAAAGAAGTATTATATCTTTCTTGTACTATAACACTAAATGTATGAAAACAAGTTGAAATGAAAATCGACAGTTTATTTCCTTAGGTTGAGTACATACAATGTACATGTACATCTTATATACACTTATATGAGGTGGGATACATCTACCTACGTCCCCTGTGGATTGACGCCCCTTACATTGTGTGCCTGAGGAGTTCCAAATACACGTATTGTGTTTTGCCTGAAGTGCCTAATGTTTCACAGAAAGTGCCCCGAGCGGGACCGCAATTTGTCTAGCAATGGAGGCTTCTGTAGTATGGGGACATAGATCCAGTTCGTCAGTTCACAAACGACTATGACATGCATGCCTGCGTTACGGTCGCGTCGCTACTAGTAGATGAACACTCCCCACCACAGACACATAAACGCATAGGTCGCCAGTCTAGGGCGTACAACTTAAAACCACCGTAGGTAAGTACACGCAAAACCACAGATTATATACATGTACATGTAGGCCTACGAACATACGTGTACACAACTATGAATCAATTCAGACATGAAGCCCTGTGGAGCTATGTAAAACTGTATTCCTAGTGTGCATTTGTTTCAGACGTGCATGTGTCCGCTATGAGACCGCATGGCGCCTCTCATCCAATCAAAACGTGTATTTAACAAAAGGGGCAACCAACCTGTGCAGTCATCCAATCATTCGTGACGACAGACCACACTGATCTCCAAGTACTGCATATGCATATCTATGTACTTTTGAACAGCTTAACATGTAGTATGTTTTGCCAATGGAATGAACAATGAAGAATGCGGTATGTGGAGTAGTTCTGTCTGTATATGGCAAGAAACGGTGATTGTTCAAGGGTGCAGACCACTAATTCAAGTGAGAATTTCTGGCCAGCTAATTAGCCGTCTCTCCTCTGCTGATACATGTGCACCTTGTTGCACCATGATGGCAAGTGGCCATATGCTCAAGGGTTCTTAATGCGAAGCATCACATATACATAAACATGTCAATGGACTTGTACGGCGTGGCTCACCAATAACAAGAAATACAGAAGGGTTGAAGCACGTCGAAAATACATGTCAATGACAATAGACATGTACGGCGTGGCTTACAAGACCGAACCTAAACAGTCCTGAGTCCGCCAATTCTAATTTGATTTTACACAAACCTGAGAAAGTTATAGGTTAAATGGTTAAAGAGCACATCTAAAGAAAACATGCTTTCTCTGATTTTATTTGTTCAAATAAATATGGAAGTGTCCAAAGCGAATGCAGAGTCATATGTCTTCAGAGCTCAACTATAACAAGCTTTAAAATTGTGAATGTAGATTGCGTCATTCTGAGAAAACAGAGAGAACGGGGAACCCTCGTCCTGTGTTCATTGTGGATAAACCCTTGGCCAGTGTTTGGCGTGCATTCGATTTGGACGCTTCCATATTTATTTGAACAGATAAAATCAGAGAAAACGTGTTTTCCTTAGAGGTGCTCTTTAGAACAATCTATGGTACTTTACTTTCTGGTGATAGGCAGTGCCAAGATATCCATATGTTGCGATTTTCAGTGGATAATCTCTTTCAAAAGGATAATAATATTCACTGTGATTTGTAGACAGTAGGCATTAATAAGAACATTTTGGTAGTTCTAACTGGTGATCGTCATTGCTTGCCTTACGCGGCCCCTCTTCTGCATATTCAATATTGAATATACATTAGATTTCCATGCATGCTGTTATGTATGTATAGTGTCCGCATGCTTTGTGTGTTAAAAGGGATAAAGAATCTCCAGAACAAGCTATTCAAACAAGAGCACTGAATATGCATCCTTTCTAATAAAGGAACTGCAGTATTCGATTTCGTATGCAGCATACGTTTTGACAGGACCCGTCATAGGTCACGTGGTGGATACAGAACGTCTACAACTAGTGAGCCCAGCCAATCACGCGGCCAGAAAGAATCCCACGCTGCATAGCAACCAATGAAATCTTTGACACCGAGAGAGCAGCCATGATCCTGGTTCCTGTGGGGCGTGGGCAGGTTCAGTACGCTCGACCAGTGGTAAATTACGTCTTAACAGTGCGTACAAGCGATGCTGAACAGCCCTACATAATGATTGAAGCATTCTACGAAAACCCCCATTCAAACTAGATCCAGCCTGTGCGACTGTCAGATGTTTAAAACCAGACGTTATTTGCATCAAGCCTGTACCATTATGGTCTAATTGGATTCACTTATCCTTCAGTGGTATTTTTTCGGGTTTTTGTGGGCTGCAATAAATTTCCCTGTCGTTCATTTTGCACTCCCATTGTACAGCGAGAAACACGCGCGACGTGACACGGCCATCGCAGCTCGTATCCCGTCAAGACTAATTGACTGTGTAACAAGAGTACGGGGACGACTCAAATTCACGCCCCGTGCTTCCGTTTTTCACATCATCATCCATATTATTGTCCATAACTCACGCAAGCTGCTAATAAAAAGACTGGATTCGGACAACCTGAGCACTTCTCGTTTCGGTCGCATCGACAAGCGGACTGACAAATTGTTTAGCTGCTAGAAAAGGACGACCACTCCACCGAGCAGTAATATTTGGGCTGGCGATCTCCGGTGCGCTCTCTCCCTAAAGATCGCGCGCACTTTGTTGAGTGGACGAAGGGGAAGAGATCACTCTCTCAGCGTCGAAGAACATCTTGCAACCGGCTGTTGGCCCTATCAAAGGTAAGTCATAATTTGTTTGGCTTTTTATAACACGCTCAAGAAAAGCTATAGGCCCCTGAGTCTATGGCGTCTCCCCTGAAATTCTTGTCCATTTGAAACATATACATGTAGCACTTTGAAGTGTGTTGGGTTTCCACAGACAAGACACCAAGTTCTGATGTGGTTGGTCCAGTGGCGTAACTAGCATTTTATTAGTGGAACTGGGCCATCGGCATCTGATGGGGGGCAGCTTATGTGGTGTGTTCCAAATGTTCCTTCGCATGTTCGTTTCATCATGTGACTGAAAATAGGGCCTATGGCTTGCCGGTCTTATCTGCGCACTCTGCACTCGCCATGTCAGTTTTGCCCGGTACTCTGTACGCATGCCAACCAAACATCTCACTGAAGCGTGTCCATATTTCAGACTTGCAAAGTGTGAGTTTACCTCTTTGTTACGGGCGGAAAGGCAACAATTTTTTTTTCGGGAGCTGCATTTGCTTGTCGGAGAGAGCCTCCGTTGCACCAAGATCACCCTCTGCAAATTTGACAGAAAGAGCAGAAATTTCTTTCTCTGAGCAACTCTCGGTATTAACAGCCTGCTTTTTCTACCATGCCGAAAAGGAGATTGTCTAAGATCTGATTTTCATTAATAGGACCTCAAAAATGGTCATTAACTGTGAAATGAATATCTCTCTGTTGAATCTTTCCAAGACCATTAATTGAATAAGGAGATGCGGCATATTCTTCTACTTCTTCCCAAATGGTTTTCTTGACCAAATGTGCATGATTAACATCTGTAAGTAGGGCGCTATTGAACTTCCGATAACCATTACCACGATCTATTTGGTTCAAGTCTAACTGCAAATCAATTAACAAATGGTCACTTCTGTAACCTGGCTTGATATCACAACTAACCAACTTTGAATTAAGTTCAGCAGAGATCAGAAAGAAGTCCAATCTGGACTGTTTAAGGGTATCCTGCTGTCTCCAGGTAAACCTCTGCAAATCTGGGTTATGAACTCTCCAAACATTAACTAAATCCCAATCGCCGCACAACTGCATCACTCTCTGTCTTGACAGAGGGTAATTGCGTAGCATCAAAATCACACAGAATGTTAGAAATACCCTCATACAAGTTAGGCATATTTGTATTGGGCCCATTAAAGATTGACAAGCATAATGTTATTGTCACCAATATCCATGCTTAAAACCAACGAGTTCCCATTATCATCACTCTTGGCACTTCTAATTTTGTAATCAAAATTATTATTAATCAAAATGGCGACACCTCTTGCGTTACTTCTAAAGGAGTTAAAATAACAATGTAATCTCCATTCACTTCTCACTGCGCTCTCCATATCTTTGTCAAAATGTACACCCTGCAAACAACATGTGGAGTACTTCTTATTTCTTAAAAAATGCAAAACATCTCTTCTTTTAACGAAGTTCCCCAAGCCCCGACAATTCATCGAGGCAATCGACAAATTGTTATGACCAGGCATTACTTCTGGTTACCCCGAAGAGAAGTTATTATGTACCCGCTTTGCATATCAAATACAAAGCATTTCAGCAATATAGGCCTAATTTGCATAACACCTGGGAACGCATAATTTGAGGAATGCAACTATGTTGCATACAATGTCTGTCTTTCTTCGCCGGTGGGGTACACTTCAACTCAGGGTGGACAGGTTAAACGCGCGACCATTTTCAGCAAAAAGACATTCATTTTCACCAACACAAGTCTGCAATCTTGCACATTTTTTCGTTTGCGTTCGCGCTGAATTTGTTTTTCACACTGATCGCTTTCATTTTTTATTTTCGTGCAAACAGTGGTGAGCGTTTATGTGTTTTGGCATCTATATCGCTATTTCCACCAGTCGTGCGTGAAACTTCTACCGAACTTGACGATTCGGAGCAGCCAAATTAAGATTCAACGGTGAGAACCCTTGCGGTATTTTGTTTCTAGTTATAAACTGTAAGTGTTCAAGTAAGATGCGATTCGGCTGATTTGAACAGTGTTCAACCCTGAACAGGTGTACGCCTCCGACACTACTATCTCAATTAATAAGAATTCCTTGTTATCATGATACGTATGTGTTAGGCCATCTCAAATAAGCCTTTTTCGAGTTAAACTTGAATATAATCTTGAACACTGTGTTCATTAAACTCACCCATGAACATAACAACTTGAATTCTCCATACTAAAACCACTGTTGTTATACTTTGTGATTCGGGACAAGCTTTTGCTTCGTTACATAAGAGACGCCTTACAACAATACACTATTCTCAATGGATAAGAACGGCACAAAGGAACCAGTCCATTCCAGAGAAGGTGGTCGCTATGCAAAAGCTTGCCCTGAATCACGAGGTATAGCAACAGTGTCTTCAGTCTGGGGAATTCAAAATGTTAACCTTGTGTGCAATCAGAAAACTCAGTGTATCAGATTAAAATGAACTCGCAAAAGGCTTATTGAATCCAGTTGAAATCGATGCGAGATGATTTTTCTTGAGATTGAGCGGGTGTTATGGAAGTGGCACAGCGTGTTCTTTATTACGTTTGTAATTCCAACCAACACAAATGAGACGTTAATAAAGGCAAAGCAAAAACCTCCTTTTGAGGTGTAAACATGATTTTGTTCCTTTTGTGTTTTATTTAATTCTTTTTCTGTTCTCCTTTCCTGAAAGATACACTTAGATGTACATGCTGAAATATGAGTCCAGAAGCACATGCTAAAGAAACCAACGGCTTTGATCATGTTAGCTCAGCTGTTTCCTTTGCAGTTTTTCTGTTCTCCTTTCCTGGAAAAATACAATTTGATACACATGTAGGAAAAACTAATCAGGAAGCACATGGCAAAATAACTAGCGGAATTAGTTGTTTAGCCTGAAAGTTTTTTTTTTTAAGTTTTTCTGCTTTCCTTTCCAGAAAAATACAATTTGATATACATGTAGGAAAAACTAATCAGGAAGCACATGGCAAAATAACTAGCGGAATTAGTTGTTTAGCCTGAAAGGTTTTTTATTTTGAAGTTTTTCTGTTTTCCTTTCCAGAAAAATACAATTTGATATACATGTAGGAAAAACTAATCAGGAAGCACATGGCAAAATAACTAGCGGAATTAGTTGTTTAGCCTGAAACAAAATTTGCTCTAACTTTCTTGTGCATTTGTTTACATTTATTCTGTTTCAAGATGTCCTTTGCATCTGAGAGATGTTCATTTTGATTAGAGTTTTTGCCCTCATACCGATGAGCATGAATTCAAAAACATTGCATACTCATCTTTTAACATAACTCTATACTTATTTTTTTCTGGTTTCCCATTTCGAAACTGCACTTCGCTAATTGCAGTTTATATAAATCAGGAATCATGCTATGCCAAAGACCTCCTCCCAAGACCCCCGTCCCCGACGAAATTGAATGAACGAAAATGTTACCTGAATTTGATTCGACCTTTTTTCAACGAATGACTGCCCGAAAACGAAATGATACGTTTTGACTTTCGAATAAGTATATAAAAAGGGGACAGTCTGGGAACTTGCACAGTCCTTGTTTGCGTCAGCTGCGATCAAGTGTTTCCATACGATTACGTATCGTAAGTTTAGTTAAATCTAACAAAGGGTTTCACGTGTTCGCGCTCTCGCGCGTCAGCGTGACTTACCTGTCCTGGGAAGAAATGGGCTTTTCGGTGCGTTCGATTTTCATACACTTGGTGTTAAAATGACGTAAGGACGTCGGTGTCGAACCTCCCCAGTGCATCAAGATTTTTAAAAAGGTGTCATGGTGTCATCAAAGAAAAACATTAGGGCGGGGCTGGATTGTCCCCAACTCTTTTGGGGAGGCCCTCCTCCCTGTTGGCGTCCAAAGATTCAACACAGTTGCTGACACAGTTGTTCATTTGTCTACGGGGGCAGAACCTGGCGGTGAATGTGGAAATGCCCACCCCACGTCGTAAAGCCCGGGATTATAGGTCTTGGCTTATGCTCGCCTGTTCAACGAAGTGTTCACACTTTACATTGCATAACGGTCCGTGTTACATTGACACCGCATGATAGTTGGCGTGCTCGTTGGATGATTGGGTACGTAGGGACCCTCTGGTGGTTTAATTTAAACACCAAAAACTTTGCAATTGCTGAGCATGTTGATACAACTCGACCCATTGTTTTTCTTCACATTTTGTTCGGTTACAGATTTCGGAGCGACTGAGTTTATCTACCCGTCATGGCTTCCCGGGCCCCTTTGCCCTTTGACGACCTGCTAGAGAGGTTCGACGGAATCCCTAACGGGACCGTCAACAGCACTGGATCCCCCAGGCAATGTTATGATCCCGAGAATAACTTAGTCAGCGGTTGGATCATTATACTTGTTCTCTACATCGCCGTTGTCATATTGTCGTTGCTGGGGAACTCTGTCGTTTGCTTTTCGGTGATGTGTAACCCACGCATGCGCAGTGTCACCAACCTCTTCCTAGCCAATCAGGCGCTGTCGGATATATTCATGACCATTTTGAATATCCCATTCATTGCGTATTTCCATATGACACGCGACTGGCCCTTCGGCGAAGTCATGTGCCACCTGGTCGAGTTCATGAAGATGACGTCCGTCTACGTGTCCACTCTCATGCTGACTGCGATCGCTTTGGACCGGCATCAGTTCATCATGCACCCCCACCGGCCCCGTATCAGTAAGCGGACCGTCGTGTTAGTGTCTTCCGTGATCTGGGCCATATCGCTGTTACTTGCCTGCCCATACAGCAAACTCGAGGTAGACTTAAGTAGCCACCAGTGTGACAAAATTTGCATCGTCCCCCTTAACGCCCAGGACTTTTGGAAGTACCTGACCATCGCGACGTTTGTCTTGCAGCTGCTGATCCCGCTGACGTTGATGTCTGTCGTGTACTTTCGCCTGTACATGATGTTAAGGTCCCGTGGAAGCGTTGGCAACGTAAACGCTCGGCTGCCGCGGACCAACAGACGGGCCAGCAAGCAGCGCACCACGGTTAAGCTCGTGCTGTTTGTGGCCACGTTCACCCTGTGCTGGTGTCCTATCAACGTGTACCTCCTTGTCACCAATTTCAACCAATCCCTTCGAAACAGCGCGTTGTACATGTGCCTTCACTGGTTCGCGGTCTGCAGTGTCTGCCTCAACCCGATCGCCTTCGCGTTCCTCAACAAAAACTTCCGTCGAGGACTGCAGATGTTCTGTTGCTCATCTAGGAATAACGCTAATCAAACAATTTCCACGGACTTTTCAAAGTAAACGCAGACATAAAGGACGATCGTTGTCACTGCCGTCGTTAGTTTCTTTACCGTTGAGTGTTATCACCGTCTTATGTCATGATCATCCTCGTCACCGTCGTCTTTGTCATTGCATGCCCCTCTTGTCGTCCTCCGAAATGGTGATTGTCGCCTTCCTTATTGTCATCTCTATCGTCGTCTTTTCTGTCGTCCTGTGGCGTTGTTGTCATCGCCACAGTCACCGTTGCCGTTCTTCTTGATGGTAGATGCATGGACGGGGGGGGGGGCTGCTTAGCGACGGACGCGCACAGCTGGGATTTCAATACAGACGATTCACAGTATAGTGCATTACCAAGAGGTGGTCATGGAGTGGCCAGTTTTTTTTTTTAGTCTGATTCCCTGCCCAAAGATTCCATGACGTTTCTTGATAAAAAAAATCTTAAGTCAGGCATCACCCACGGATATAAATAGATATGACGCAAGGGTCAGGGGTCACAAGTAGAGAGCCCGGGTGTTTTCGATTTCGTTACACTGTTGTGCACCCTGTATGTGTGGGCGTTATATTCTGCATTTCGCCTGGCCTTGATTTCGGCCAACGTGACCTTTGATTCCAGTGTAAAGTCAAATATTGTAGGATCAACAGCTGGCATTACGATGACTTACATTACATTGACTTAACGTTCAACGGCTAGCCTACCTACTCGGCCAGGAATAACATCAACGGTACTATCCAAACATGCCAAATACAGACGGGACGACTTCGGAATATTTCAGCTATTTCTGAAAACCCTCCAGTTTTGGTCACGTGGACATTGGATGATATCGGACCCTTGATTCGTAGAGTAGTCAGAATCATCGGGTCTGGTATCCAGACTACCAGTTTTCAAGATTACAATCGACCAAAAATCGCAAACTTGCCACGATTCACATCTGACCGTATGTCAATAGACAATATGAGGAAGTATGTGATTGATGGGGTATTCCATGCCTCAACAAACAACCGGTTTAGATTAACCAACACTGATACTTTAAACATTTCTGCTGATCTTAAACCCATACACTTGTGCATTTTGTACAACTGGTACAAAAAACTTTTGACGACCATTTTCCCACCGTTGCTTTGCCACTGCGAAAATTCGCTCGTCACCCAGCGCCCAACAGGGCGCTAGGAAGGGCTGATGGCCTTGCACAGATTTTTAGTGAAGGAAATACGTGACACAGGGTCAAATTTCTGCCAGGCGTGCGGGCTCACTCAATTCTTTCGGCGGTTATCGATTCGATATTTTTGTTTTTCTTCCTCATTGCTGAAAGTATTCTCATACATTTTATGCGTTCATCCAATATTGATCAAGATAACCAATGATTTGAAACATATCGTCAAAAGACACGTGATCAGTGATACCAAGTGAGGAGATAGATTACCACACAGTGATTGTACCAAGGCTATGTTTTTATCACATAGCCGATACTTTGCCCGTGCCAAATCATTGTAATTGGCGAACCAACATATTTAAATAACGCTTCGCTAACAGGAGGTGTTAACCTTGCGGTCACAGTAGTGCACAATTTAGCCAATCACTGTGCAAAGCCATCAGTCCTTCCCAGCGCTCTGTTCGGGCAATGGGCGACGTTCCAATCGCGAAAAAGGCCTTTACGTTACAACCTCTTGGTGGCGCAAGGATTTGCGAATCGCCCCAGATGTTCCAAATTTCAGTTAGCTCTGCATGCATTAAATTAACAGTGCCATGGCGAATATACGAATGACATGGGGGTTGAATGACATGAGCCTCTCCAAAGGTTGAATAAACCGGTCGGGAATTAGCCTTGGTCAAGTTGTTGGTCATTTGTCGCAGCGCGGCGCAGGCCGCGCACCAGCCGCTCGGTGACCTCATACCTACATACCTGCATACCTTGCAAACAAGGCGAAGAGCGACCTCACGCGGCTTAAGAAATATGCAAATCAGCTGAACCAATATAACGCCTTGGTGCAACCGGAAGCTGTATTTGGCGGTGCTTATTACGCTAATGAAGAGCCGATATTTTAAATACGCTTTTGGGTTGGTTCATTGCTACATAGAACCTGCATAATTCAAGTGGTCGTAAGGTGAAAGGTTAACTGAACGCACGCGTGACTATACATGTACATGACAAGTATCTTTGGCCAAACATACAGCTTTGATTGGCAGCCAGCGAATCGACTTGATCCTGTATCAAAGCCGTCAGAGGAGAAATGGCTAACGCTATGGGCTTTGTATCTGGTCTTAGGAGCTCCGAACAGAATGGTGCAGCCTGACAAATAACAGATTTCCCGTAGCCTGTTGGTAAATTCACGAAAACATCGTGACCCCGCAGAAAGTATTTTTAAGTTTGCCGCTGCTCGACACGAATATCACCCAACATTAATTGATCTGCAGCGGAATTCAAGCAACAAGACAACTACTCGTGCTGCAGTCGTCTCGGAAGGTCCGCCATATTTTACATGGTTGTCATGCATACCAGTTCACGTTGATGCATTACGCATGTGTATACTTGGCTGAGATTAATCGATTGGTCAGTCTGCACTCATCGAACGCCTGCATCTATTCATATTCGCATACGAGGTGGTGCGCAAGAAATTTTGCGCAAAAGTAAAGAAAACCATAAGCTTCCGCCGACGGTTGCACCCAGGCGTTCGTCCTGGTTCAGCTGATTTGCATTTTCTCAGGCCGCGTGAGGTTGCGAATTGCCTTGATTTTGCAATGTATGCAGGTACTGTATGTACATGTACGTACGCGGGTATGTCGAGCGGCTGGTGCGCAAATGACGAACGCCTTGACCAGGGCTAGTCAGGAGTGCAAAACTATCCAGGTCCCACGTCCTTGCGGGCTAATATGGAACCTGGAAGAGAGAGGATTTTGCTTATCTACAAACGAATTATTTTCTTGCGAAATCAATCTGTAATGACCGGTCAACGCGCAGTTTCATAACCTCTGCCTGATGACAGACCTCAGCTCTCTAATGAAACGAATTCTGCGTGGTCATAGAGATAGGCAGACTTCCCACTATTTTCATTTGAGCGAAAGTCAATAGACAGTTCGAGGAAAAGTGTGATATGAGCACTCCGTGCGTAGAAAAAGTACCATTATATAATAATCAACACCAACAATCTAACCCTTTCCGAATCCCGAATCCAGACAAAAAAGAAAGAAAAGAAACCAGCAGAACAATGCTGATTTCCCGTGCAAAACCAGTTCAGCCAGCACAAAGATCTTTTGTCGACCGTTATTCCACAATGCTCCGCGGATAAAGCCTGTCCCGTAGCAATTTCTGGGTGGCGCACAGATTCGTGAATCGTCCAAATTGTCCCAAATTTCAATTTTTTCAGCAGTTCGTGATAAATTAAGAGTGTCATGGTGAATGAATGACATGGACGAGCCCCCCCCGCCCCATTTCGCCCATCTGCAAGTATAAGAATATTTTGTGTGATAAGCCTATTTTTAAGCACTTAAAGCTTCGGTGAAGTGGACACCTTTGTTGAGAAAAACTCCCAAGGAAATGTGTGCTACTATAAGTCTGTGAAAAGGAGCAACATTTGGAAACGAGGGGTGACTGAAAGGATATTAGGAAGTAAACAACTTCTTTTGAGCTCGGACAAAATTCTTTGGCCAAGAACTACCGGCACCGGAAGCCGATCCCAATTACCCTGTAAGTTAGAGGAGAATTGGCCCAAAGTTTTATCGATCACGACAGCTCTCCACAGGTTGCAACGACTCTTAACCGGTCATAAGTGCAACTATATCCAGGTCACGCGTCCTTACAGGCTAACACAGAACCTGGAAGAGAAAGGGTTATCGAAGATTTGGCTTATCTACAGACGATTATTTCTTACGAAATCGATCTGTAATGACCGATTAGCAAATAGTTTCATAACCTTAGCCTGGTGCTCATTTGAAACAAGTGGTCCGTGAGCGTAGCTAAGGAGCGGAATCATACCAACCTCCCTCTCACGTCATCCCAGGTATATATTGTTTCTGACCTCGGCAATGGATACGATGTTATGTCCAACTTACTTTTCTTGGGAACTGCAAGCTTGTCTGTTGTTTTAATTCATGTCACTTTCGTGGCTGTACTGTGAAGTAATGTTATGAAACAATGCATGTTTAATGTCAGTCGCGCTCATCACGGGGTGAGCCATTCTCGAGCAGAGCTTCGGCAGATGGGCGGATCGATCTAAGAAGGGTAGTCTTGATTCTTGGAAGGTGTCCTGTGAAGAACCGACGGGCCTTGCTGAACTCTAGATAGATGTGCATCTCGTCACCAATTTCCACGGCCAGATTTAGGTAAGGGGACGTGGAGACACCAGACTGACGTTGAACAACTTCTTCCTGTTGAACTGTGGACAGGTATGCCAGCAATTTGATGAAAACAGAATTGAGAGTGAAGCACGGATTTTTTAGTGCAAACGAACTAAAGAGTCAAACAATAGATTTGCTGTTTGAACTTTGCGAAGGCGATCAACCCACTGCCTGACGTCGACACAATATTATGAACACATTCCTCTACTGCGAGTTTGGGGTCAGCCGCACGATTCCCAATCTGCGCTCAGTGTGACTCCCATTAAGGAGTGACAAAGACCGGAAAAAGGTCGATTTCAGGCTGCTGTGACTGCAGTGACATTCACCGGCCGGGTTCCGGTGGACATTTTTCGCCACACCGCGCCAGATTCGAGTAGACCGGCAAACAAGACTGCTCAAATTCCGGTGGACCCAATTTGACCCGTTTTTTTAAGGGGACCTCCTTACTTTACTTGGAGGCCTGTATGTCAGCGAGTCTGCCTACATAGACCGTGTGTCATAACCCGTGTATTAATACGGTAATCATTAACGATGATCAAAGTTCGTGTGTGTGCCGAGCTGTTAATCGTGGTTGGTGTAATCGGACTGCTACCGGCTACCAGAATAACAGGTGAGTTTATCTTAGTACCACGCACCATCGAACATTTCATGTCGTGCAAAACGCTGCAATTGTGCAAGCCGCCGTGTCCAAAAAAACATAGGCCTAGAGGGTCTAATCATCGTTAGAAATTTGAATTCAGAGGGTCACAGAGACAAAGCACAACGATCGCTCCGCAGGGCAGGATGGACCCCCTGAGCCTCACCCAACGATTTACTGCTGCTGTTCCGCTCGCGCACACATATGTTTCCTCCCTCATCTTAGTTTTGCTTATTGTTCAGGGTCGTACACTGTACGCCAGGGAGTTTTTGTGATGCAAACGAGATGTCTGATGGAATTAATTTGTTAGTCATTGATCTTAATATGTAATCAAATACCAGTAGCCTTTTTCGAGCAGTGAAAATTAATTTATTTCCTCTCTTCCTGTAAAACAAATCATAATATTCTGGCAATCGGGGATTTTACAAGAATGTGAAACGCATAAATACGAAGCCAACGTTGGACTGAAGGCATAACGAAGGTCATTGGTTTCCAAACGTTTTTTAAAGCCAGATCCACGAACCTAAAAATTTGGTTCGCTGTGATTAATATTTATTTTTCAGGAAAACCCCTACGAGAAATACTGTCAAAGGTTTATGTTGCGCTCTTTGTTGGCAACATGCGGTGCGCAGTCTCCACGTGAGACTACGGCATGCACAAGTACCCAACTCTAGCTACGGCTCTCCACCGCTGCCTCTTTTAATAAAAATTCGAAGCAGTAAACTCAGGAGACAGGACCGGATTATGGCTACCCCCATCATGCACCGCTCCATGTAGTCGCATATATTAACTAAATTGATACGCAGGCAGTGCTGGGTGAACATACGTGAACACTCTATCTGATCCATCATCGAAATTCGGAGCCTTGATCCATGACGGTGAACTTCTTTTGTGACCGTTTTACGTCTGATTTGTATAGTTCAACCATCAACAGATGGGGGGGGGGTGTCGGCTACACAGAAACGCAAGCCAAGAACGACAGAAATAGCACGCACATACATCGTGATGGGCAAATGTTGGCACGTGACAGCCCGTGCTGTGCGTGGGGGTGCATACAGCGTTTCCGCCGGTCTACATCGTACTCGGTTCTAAAGTTCACAAAAGTCAAAACAAACGATGCTGTGTAGCCTCGAAAATGTTCAGACACCATTGTCGGAAAAACTCTTTCACAGTATCGAGTTCAAATTTGCGAATTTGAAGCAGTGTCTGAACTTACCCGTGATAAGACGGCAACTGGATTACACAACCTATTAAAAAACACCAGACTGAGCTCACCGCGCTTGGCGTGTATGTTTCTTGGGACCTTAGCTTTTCGTTTTGTGCCGCGCTTACGTGCTGTTGTCGATCAGTTTCAAGTTGTATTCTTCTCAGTGGGAGGAGATTACTTGTCACATGTGGGGGATGATTTCTGAAATGTCATCCCAGGTGAGATCGTGATGCCGGCAAATGCAGATTCGGTGGGATATATCCCCCCCCCCCGATCTCCGCCTGTGTTCTTCTCGGGTACTGAAGGCTGACCCCAATTCCGATTTCTCACAATTCTCTTTAAATATTTGGATACAAAGTTTGGAGGAGAGTAGCCCGCCTAGGACCCTTTATACTGAATTCTTGCCATTAACTTTTTCGAGTTACTCCTTACGTTTCAAAGTTTTCAGCATTCATCACAATTTATGCATAGATACCCTGCACGATATGGGGCCGATGGGTACCCTCACCCGCATGCCCAATCCCTATACACACTCTCGACTATTGTTACCTAACACATTCCCCCTAGAAATCTGTAAAGTCTTCCTGAGATTCCGATCAAACAATGACCAACACAAAGGCAGGGGGTTCTCTCCGCCCCATATATTGCATCATATGGATACATAGGGATGATATCGTGCCAAGGTTGTAGTGTAAATCATAAAGTGGATATTATACATTGAGAAAAAGAATAAAACCATCATAGAGGCTAAAATGACATCATTCTTCAAGCTAAGAAAACCCTCGAATTTGACCAAATGGCACTGTTCGGCCTCGTTTGTGAGGGTTGGGAGTGAAACAAACAGTTGAAAACTTCTTGGAAGAAAATGCGAAGCATATGCATCAGACTGATGATGCATTGTGTTCCGTTATGGCCAGCATGTAAAGTGCACATTTTACAGTAGTGTTTATCGACCAGTTTCCTGCTGGACTGTACGCGAAGGCGTCCAAGGCTCTGACATAAATTTGGCTTTCCGAGGTCGCGTGCTCAGCTGTTTTTCGTCGGGTTTTATAGACACTTCATGATGGGCAAATACAGGTGACCTTGCTTTCTATAACGGTACTTTGTTGAATCTGGCACTTTACCAAGTCGATGGCGTGCAAATAATGCTCGCTATATAATGTGCAATTCCACCGACAAGCTACCATGCGGATTGGAACATCCATGTATGAAAACACCTCACCTTTCTGTCTGCATTGTTCATTGGGGTATTTTCATTGGCCATTGTAGTTGTCTTTATTGCACAAAGTATTATAAATGGTTGGCAGAGAATGTTTTACGCAAGGACTTAAAGCTCTCAAGCTTGATCAAAGTTGAATGTAGGCGTCGTCACAGACACGTAAGTTCGGCTTTCAATGGTGCTGTTTGGCCGAAACATCTTTCTCGTAGAGGCATTTACTGTGCTCGTACAATTAATAAACCCAACCATATTGTTCATCCCAGCTCACTTCGTTCCACACTGGAAAATGACCGGCCTCTTTGTGTTAGCCCTGCTGTCACTGATTCTGACAGGTACGACCTTTTCTAAAAATCTCACCGAGTCGAACCTTTAAGGAACTATTTAGGAAATTTCTTTGTGTAAAGCCGTCTTTCTTTAATACGCAGTGCTAGGGCTGTCGACATCCGACCTCAGCCACGAGTGCCTCCGGCCTTGCGAGTGGCCGGCTCAGCCTCGAACCTGCCGCTACGATTTCACTGTGGAGTGGTACTACTCCATGTCCAAGGCTTGCTTCGACTGTCCCGTCAACCGGACGGACTGTGGAAGGCCGGACTGCATCCCGCTGAATGGAGTGCCGAGGCCGGTGGCGGTGGTCAACCGAATGTTCCCGGGACCGTCTATTCAGGTGCGTGGTCGTGCGTCCGCTGCGTGGGCCGTTTTTCCTTTTTTGTACTATGCATGGGAGCGGTATCTGCGATATGCATGAGATTAATTATGCACGCATATTCGTGCATATTAATGAAATAGGACATTACCGCCAAGTGATCCGGATAGTATCATTGCTTTTAGTAACGTACACGTATAATTCGTTGGAGTAGGTAGTCATTAGGCCTAATTAGTGATTTCTCAGCATAGCCTCAAGCTTGTAACCTTTTAGAAATTCTTCAACAATCAGGGTTAGAACACTGAATAGCATTTTTGAAGGTATTTTGTGTGTTAGGGAAGGTAGCAAGATTATTGGGGGGGGGCAAGTACCCCTTTGGCCCCTTTCCCAAGTTGTGTACTTGACAATAAACCTATGATTCAAATATAATAAGCCTACTGGGTATTTACGAGTAGTGGATTTGTAGGTTCTGACCTTATGCCAATTATAGCCATGCTAAGTGCATTAAGTTATTCCCTTCAATTTTCATCCAGATCTGTGCGCATGACATTTTAGAAGTGAAAGTGACCAACAGCTTAAAGAGTTATTCCGAAGGGACCGCGATACACTGGCATGGCCCGCACCAATTCGGCACGCCGTACATGGATGGCACTGCCATGACGTCCCAGTGTCCTATCCCCATAGGCGCCAGCTTTACCTACCGTTTCCCGGCTGAGACCTACGGCACCCATTGGTGGCACGCGCACGCTGGCATGCAGCGGGCCGACGGGGTGTTCGGCGCCCTGGTGGTGCGCCAGCCGGACCCGCGCGAGCAGCACCGGAAACTGTACGACCGCGATCTGCCGGAGCACGTGGTGCTGCTCCACGACTGGCTGGACCGGGTCACCCTGGACAAGTTCGCCGCTCACCACCACGACAACGGCAGCAACAAGCCCGAGTCGGTGCTCGTTAACGGGAAGGGGCGGCGCGCGGCCTTCACTGACCCTGCCACCAACGAGACGGTGTTCACGGAGCGGGAGGTGTTCCGCGTCCAACAGGGCTTGAGGTACAGGTTCCGGACCATCAGCAACGCCATCACCAACTGCGCTCTCAAGGTGTCCGTGGACGGCCACAACCTGACCATCATCGCCAGTGACGGCTCTCCCGTGGAACCGGTCGAGGCGGACTTCTACATCATCTACGGGGGAGAAAGATTCGACTTCGTTCTGGACGCGAACGCCACGGTGGGCAATTACTGGATGCGTGTAAAGGGACTCGCAGACTGTAAGTTTGTCCAGGACTTAGCTGTTGTCCGCTACGTTGGTGCACCTGATACAGATCCTACCGAGGACGAAAAGATCGACCGTCAAGGTGTTTTTGTCAACCCCTTTAATCAAGAAGCAAGCGAGACGGCCATCGCTATCCCTCAGCTAAATGCAACAGGTAAATCTCCTAAAGATCCTTCGACGGCGTGCTTTGCCCAAAGTACCGTCTCAGATATTAAAATAAGACATAGCGGTGCAATGAGAGGCACTTCGCTGGCATGTTGCTACTCTTAAAGTGTGATGCGAACCAGCTGACTATAGTGTCCTCACATTTTCACTGGTTCCCATCCGTTCCTTCGCATTCTACTTAATACAATGGGGGAACAGGGACCATCTTTGTTTTCCTCGTCAGTTTCATGGCGCTCTCTTTAATTTTTATTTTTTATGCTTGACAAAGTTCAGTCCTGTGTTGCTTCAGCTTTCTTGGACGCCACCAACTCCAATGAATGCTTCAAGATCCTCGCCTAACACAATTTCCCATGATCCTGGAACAAAAGATCGTTGGACAGTGTTGTAGTAATAGTATGCACATACTTCGCGACTTCTTCACGCGTGCACACGTTGCTCAGGGCAAAGCGTTAATATGCCGTTACTCATGAAAAAAAGGCTTAGGATATAGTTCCGTGCTTGTACGCATGCGTGACTAAGACTTTGTCTTTTTAGTGAATTGCCAGGAGAATACATTCAAATCCTGCCTAAAGAAAAGAGGCTTTGTGTCTTGATTGACACGTAACCGATAGATGTATTTTTGGCACTGTTGACTTGGCTCGACTTTTTTTTACAACGCACAGAGCCCGACGACGGCACGAGCGTGGCGCAGGCTGACGTCATCCACTACCTCGGAATGGACTTCTACAAGGTCAACAACTACCACTTCCACGAACCGGTCAACTACCCGATTGAGGACGTGTCCAGGACGCATCACCTCTACTCGCCCCAGCTCAACCACCTGTCCTTCGCGTTCCCCCCCTCGCCGCCCCTGACTCAGTCCCGAGACATTCCCGCCGGAGAGTTTTGCACCCCGGAGAGCATGGCAGCGGCCAAAGACTGCGTGCGGGAATACTGCGAGTGTACACACACCATCGAGGTCAAACTGGGGCAGGTATACAACGAGGACATGTACTTTTCCCAAGGTTCACATGGGCTTCCTGTTGTTCTTTAGTCATGTGTTCCATACAATTGCAATTACAATTGCAGATTCCTGAATCCGGAACTTGGAGTTCTGGTGTCCTTCGCATGCTTCGTCGGGGTTTATTGAACGGAGTCAACCTTTTGACATAGATATAGTTTGCCCCTGAAAGACTGCCACCTGTGCTCCATTAAAAAGCCCGGTCCGTTCCTCTTGTCATGCCTCCAATATTAGCCGTTTGCGACTGAAAATGTGAATGAAATCTGGTACACCAAGTTATCTGATTGCACATAAGCATAACAATTTGAATTCCCCAGACTAAAGAAACGGTTGCTGTACCTCGTGATTCGGGGCAAGCTGTTGCGTAGCGACTACAGTCTCTAGAATGGACTGCCGGTTTCTATGTGCCCTTCTTATCAATTGAAAACAGTATATTAGTGCAAGGCGTCTCTTATGTAACTTGGCAAAAGCTTGCCCTGAATCACGAGGCATAGCAACAGCGTCTTTAGTATGGAGAATTCAAATTGTTTTATTCACGTGAATTCATAGAACTCAGTGTACAGATTTTATTCAAATTTAACTCGCAAAGAGCTTATTAAGGTGGGTTTGCCATGGCTTTCAAATCTCTCTCTCTCTCTTGCTCGTTGCAGGTCGTTGAGCTGGTCCTCATCGACGAAGGAGTGACCTTCGATGCCAGCCACCCCATGCACATACATGGCCACTCCTTTCGGGTGGTTGCACTAGAGAAGCTTAATACATCGACCAGCGTGCAAGAGGTGATGGATCTCGACAAAGCAGGTGTCCAAATGTTTACCTATGAGGAAGTTCGTGCAAAAAAAGCAGGATATGCATTGACTAATTGCAAGCATTGTTGCCTCAAAAAGTGCTTTCCCCGTTTTTTCTCTTGAGCGTGCAGAACTGAATGTCTTCTTCAAGTCTTTGCCGCCTCTATCAGCCCAACCTTTGAGGCAGCACAGAATGAGGGGAAATTTCTAAAAAAAAATATGGCCCTACGGCAACATGTTATTTCACGCGCACTTTGTCGTTCCATCATGCAGGCAATATCACCAGGAAACTCAGCCGAGCTCCCCTGAAGGATACCGTGATTGTCCCCGACGGGGGCTTCACCGCGGTCCGCTTCGTCGCCAACAACCCGGGCTGGTGGTTGTTTCACTGTCACTTGGAGTTCCACGTAGAGGTAGAGCAAGCTCAAATAAATAGGCCTACAGTTAACGGGACGGAGCAACAGGGTGGTTTAGAAAAAACCTATGGCATAAAGGACATTTTGGGGAGGGGGCTAACTCTTCAAGGGTAATTATATATAATAGGTTTGCCCGGTGCTTATTGATATACGTTGGGTAAGGGCAAACCTATTATATATAATTAACATCTCCCCAACGCAAAAATACATCTTGAAAATTCTTCAAGGGTACTTTTCAAACTGTTTCAGAAACTAGCTTCTGGAGGGTCATTTGTTTATGGCAAATCTTGCCAACCACTGAAACTGTTAACACTCTGAATTTCATGTGTGTTTTCATGTGTGCCATGCCCTGGTTCAAAATCCTACAGAATCTATCGAGCTTCGTCTCCCTTTGTTTCCCGCCGCAGATTGGCATGTCAGTCCTCATCCGCGTGGGCTCCGAGGAAGACCTGCCCCCTAAACCGAAGGATTTCCCCAGCTGCGGAAGCTGGTCCCCGCACGGTGTCGAGGAGGACATTGCCACCCCTGTGCCCTGTGGCGGCGCTGTTTACCTTACACCCGCAAAAGCTCTCCTGACTTTGTACTTATTACTGATTATTTTTTTGCTTAATTAAGTCAGTGGCTGCTTGTAAACATGCGCATTGAACTATTTAGATTTTAATCAGATGTGGATGGTGTTTTACTGATGATTGTGTTGGCTTCTTGTGGTCTTTTCTCAGCGGGGTAAATTTGTGTTAGAAATTGGGGGATGGGGTGGGAAAGGGGGCCGCGACATACCCGGCCATGAAAATACGAAAATCAGGGTGGGGAGAGGAGACGACTGTATATAGAAGTCGATGTTCGTGATATTGATGTATATTTGCAATATGTATTACATTCGTGCAGAATCTTACTTCATGCTTATAGCCTTTTAAAAACAAGTCTCCTTTCTTGAGTGATATTGAATGCATAGTCGTTGAGAAGTCTTCACAAACTGCTTTTATATTGACAGTATTGTAACCAAGTCATGTTTTCCCAAGTCAAGTCAAGTGTCTAAAGAATAGCGACTCGAGTCCGAGTCAGCGACTCGGGTCAACGACACTGAATCTTGACACTCAGAATTCACTTCCATGCTTTTCTACAGCCCAGCCTCTTGCCCATCTGAGGCGGGACGGCAATCTTTCAAATAGAGTGAACCTAAACAGTGGCGTAAATTTGTTCTGGGCACCGGGGGGGGGGTGGAATCGCCCGGCCATGGCAATTTGAAAAGCAGTGGGGGTGTCTGCTGACACCGTGTGACACTGTAAGGGGTGCTGTCTATGATACAGATGTACCCATCTTTAATAGCGTATTTATAGCTTACAGAAGTTTCTACCTTTTATTTAGCCGAAATAAATACATCTTGGCTGAAGTGCGGAAAATTCCTAAAAATCTGACTTTGTTCTTCTCACCACGAAAAAAGGTGTGGGTAGTTGTGAAGGGAATAATTCAGTAATTTCCCCCCCCCCTTCAAAAAGTAGGGGGATACGTTCCCCCATCCTTCGGGATTGACGCCCCTGACCACACTGGAAGAATATATACCTATCTTCTATACCGTATACCACGGGCATACTTCTGGGCAACAACACCAATCCGAATGAATCCGGAATCTCCGTTCTCACAAATTAGCAGACGGAGCCGAGCTCTGGAGAGGCAGTGTAGGGTTTCATAAGCTGTGTAGTTCATTATAACATTGTTTATCATTTTTATGTGCGGTTGGTTTCTCGTTTATTGGCGTTTGTTGTAGTCAGTGTACTGTCACTTATTTATGTTTCGTAATTAAATTTTTGGCATGTATAGTTGTCACAGAATACTGATGAAAAGCTCAGCCTGTGGTGTTGGGCTTTATGAAAACAACTTTCGTAAATTTATGAGATGAACGAATCAATCAAGACGTATGTTATCTCGCACCTTTTCATGCACAGAATTGCAGTTACTTAGTCCTGTCGTGTAATAAGAAGTGTTGTTAGCGTAGGCCTGTTTTGTCTCTATTTCACGAGCGAACCGAAGTTTTGATGATCGGTTTACAAAAACTGGCACCGTTGCGTCTGGTCGATCACGCGTACGGTTGTCTTAAAAGCTTGGACAGAGCGCCCTCAGTCAGCTACTGAAGGCCATTTTCGTAATTTTTATTTCTTAAAAGAGTCACATTTTATAGAATATGAACTGTGTGCCAGCGTTGGTAAAAACGAACTTTCCATGTTGAAGAGTAAACCAACTACACGGACGCATGCAGTATCTTAAGGACAATAGAGTTATTCGCTGTGGAGTAATGGTCATGGTCACTATCACGTGCAGCTACAAGACTACTCGAAGCGGGCTGTTTGGGGCCTGCTAAATTGCTTTGAAATAGCGCCCCCGTATGCTCATATATCATGAGATGATAAATATGGGATGGCGGTGGGAAAGGCGGTTAATCTCTCATGTACTTGTACAAAGTTTAAGGACCCGGTGAAAAATATCCGGGCTCGCATGCGTGGGTTATTGGTCGTACCTACAAGTTAATTGTGAGTCGCACGCACGGGTTATAAGCGCACGAAGGGCGGGAGCCTGCAGAAAAAACATGTAGTCACAATGTCCCAAGCATATACAGCTTCTTACGGCACTAATGTCCATCCGCGCCATCGCATTCCTCGTGGGTGCAGTGTCCCAATTCAAGGAAAATTCTCCGCCAGGCCGAGGCGCAGAAAAAGTACCCCCCAGAGATTGTTTCAAAAAGAGCGGTCTGTTTGGGCCAAGAAATGGTGGAATTGTGTCAGTATGGCTCAGGATCATCTCTGTAGATTCAGGGCACCCATCTGGGGGCAAAGCAGACAAAAATGGGATTGAAAATTAGTCAGAAGAGCCC